AATAATAAATTCCTATTACAAATATACTGAATTATTTATATTGTTATATTGACCAAATAATAATTTATTGGCCAAATGAATAATAATAATTCATATTGTTAATTTAAATAAGAATTAAAATTGTTAATTTGAATGTTTGAAATATGACACACGATAGGGGCGCCTCTAGTGTCCGTTATCAAACGGTTACGGGACAAACAGACGGACACCCGTTGAACGGGTTATATATATAGATTTTTGAGTGTAAAGGAAATATTTTCAAATACTTGGAGATGTATGAATGAAGAAAGATTATTAAATAAAGCTGGAGTTGTGACTCAAAAAATTATAGACCCAAATTTGAGAAAAGGAAGGAAAGGGAAGAAAGGACAAAAGATAAAAAGTAGTGAGAAAGGTTAAATAGATCTTCTGTTATGCAAATATTGATCCTTGATTTTCCAACCTTTGTCACTTCTTTATATTTGTCCTTTCTCTTCTTTCCCCGTATTTGGGTCTATAATCCTTTGAGACACAACTCCAGCTTTATTTAGTATTCCTTCTAGCATTGCAAGATTTGGCTACATTGTGCCAAATATGGCTACTATTTTTAGTTTGACGTAAAAAATATAATTTGGCACTTTGGCTACTTTTTGGGTTACATATTATTTGTAAATATATTAGTAAAATAAAAATGCACTTTAAAATGGTGTTTCTTCACTTTTTATTAATTAAAGACCCAAATTAAACAAATATTTGTGTTTTTCAAATAAATTTTCGCTTGTCTCTTTTATAATAAATTAATTTATCTATTTCTAAGTAAAAATTGAAAGCGTCTGTAGAAGTAATTTTTTAAAATAACCTTTTTCTTGACAAAGTTCTAATACTTATTATTATAATCTAGACATGTTAATCCTTAAATATACTTGTATATTGGGCCACAAGTGTATATTATATATAGCTGTGGCCCAAAACTCCTTGACTTCTTTCAATGCGACCCAGAGAAACAAAAAGGTTGGACATCCCTGGTTTAGAGTAAGATTCAGTAGAATTTTACCTATGTGCACTGTCATGACTGCGGTCACGACTGTTTGTGCTCCCGACGGACTTGGGAGCCACCGATTGTTTAACATCACTAGTTATTGATTCACGGTAGTTCTTGAACACACTTATCAATAACTAGTGATGTTAAACAATTGGCGGCTCAGCAGCTGCCCTTTGGGAGGAGTCTGTTTGGGTAAAATTTTACCTGATTCTAAATAAGGGGTGAAATCTCACATTATCTATATATGTTAAATTTCGCAACTGTTATAAACATGTTAATTAACATGCTGGAGGGTGGAGTAGGTATTACCCAAGAGTATTTTTCAAATGGCTTTCAGCTTGGTTCTCACTCGAAGTGGAAAAAACAAGAAAAATAGAAATAAAAGACGATTGGAGAAGGCCAGACCTAAAGGTATATTTTTTCAGCACATTCTTTAAAAAATAATCAGTTTGCAGTAATTAACTCTTCAAATAACTAGTGATAGAAGTAACGTATTAACTACTTCCACATGAAAATAATATATGCACGAGCAGATTATAATAATAAAACGCAAAAATCAACACACCTTAAACTTCATCGAACAGCGAAACGCCATCTTTCTTTCCTGAGAGGTCACTATGTGCTATTGACATCTAGCGACGAAATTTGTTACTATTAAAAACAATGCTAATTACCAATGATTAGAGTAAACAAAATACAGTATTTTTATACAAAATACAGTGATTTATACAAAAGTATAAATCATAAAATTTTGAAAACCATGATAAAATAAGTTAAATTTAAACGTCTTGTCCTGTCTACTAGGGAAATTTTAATTTTCTTCTTCCATCCATTTCAGCGTGAGGAGAAGCTAATTCAGCGTGCTTACTTTCGTTTGAATATAGACCAAAGATTTATTATACATAAGGACCTTTTTAGCAAGCCTACTATGAGTTCAGCTAGGCTTGTAATGGGACGGCCGGGTTTTGTTTGGGTTTTTTAACTCTCCGCCCTGTGGGCACTAAGAGGGCCTCTTTTAGCAAGCTCATTATGAGTTCGGGCAGGCCCACAACGGGACCACCGGGTGGTGAGGACGGAGCCCTACATATCGAGACCATCCCCGAAAAATTCCTGGGGTTTTTCGACTCGTCCCAGTTTGACTGCAAGATTCCTGATTTTGACATTTTGTAATTTTGTTCCTAACTTTCAGTTACTTTGCTTTTATAATTTACATTTATTTTATTTCTATTAATTTAAGTTGACATTTCTATTCTTTATAGTTTTAATCGTAAATTTGAACATGTTTTATGCTTGAATTCTCGAGTGCAACGGGATAAATTATTTATGTGGCACGCTTTTTTAATATGAATTGCGTTGTTGATCATTAAATTTATACTTTTCGTACCTAATAGCATATTATTATTGCATGTATATTCTTTTATAAAATTAGAGTAGAAATTATGGTAAGAAATTTTCAGCACAGCCTTTGTTGTATTGTCTTGATTTCAAGATCCAAAAAATAGGATGCTACTTAGTAGTTTACTACTAAGTATTAAATAAGTAAAATTTGAAAATATGTTACTATATATTTTTAGCTTATCTCGACGAGTTCTATCACCCATTTCCAAAACGATCATTTTTTTTTTTTTTTTTGCAACACTCTGTGTAAGTATGACTTTTCATTTATAGCCACATCTAAAAGGCCATATTAATAATGATCAAACAGACCCTGCTACAGAATCGTGTTAAGTACAATTTTCTTCTTTACTTTCTATTGTTATTCTGTTGTTTATTTGTTTAGTCTGTGTCATGAAAACTGGAAAATCCAGAAATTTAATGAAGACTCAGCAAAAATGTAATAATATAAAAGTACCACGTCATTGCTATTTTCCATTGTACAAAATTAGAATGCTAATAATGTATATATCAGAAATTTATAACTGGTAAAACACGTTTTTCTTTATTATTATTATTTTTTTTTTTTAATTTGACTGTTTTACCTACAGTTTTACTTATCTAATGATTTACTGTATATAATTTTGTAAATAAATTCTATTAATATATATTATTTTATTGTAAAAATTTTTGTTATCTTCTTGGCTTACTTATCAAAACAAAATGTCTAAATGCGGAGAAATTAATGATAAAAATGATAACTAATAACAATATCTTAATATGTAAACCTACTGAACAAATTATTAATCTTAGAATAATCTTTGACTAGAGGCTGACTTTTTCAAAACACATAGATAAGGTTGTAAAAGGATTGGCTATCTGCAGTCAGATGTTATGAAGAAATTGCCAAAAAGGCTTTAAGACAGTTCTACGTTCATTGTTCTTTGCAAATTTCTAGTCAATCGTTGATTATGGTTTAATCGTTTGGAGTTCAACTCAGTGGTGCGTTATCCTATGGACAAAAAGGGCTATTGCCTGAAAACCCACCAACAAGGGTCCCAACCAATCTTTTATAAGAACATATGAACATATGTCCCAATTCATATAAACATTATAATAGTGTGTTTAATATTACAGGATGATCTCAATTTATTTTTCAATCACTGACCATTGAGACTGTAGTGAACAATTACTGCTTTTGGAAAGATGTTTTATTTGATAATTTTATTGAGATCATCCTGTAATCCTAATCATACTATTATAGTGTTTTTACGAATTGATACAAAATAACTGTTATTGTTAACTATTACTTAATAAAATATTTCCTCCAACAAATTCCCTCGAAGAAAAATATCTGAAGTCAATACTGTTGCCTACACGAGGCCACTAATTCAAATTTGCCTAGGCTCCATGAAGCTATAACGCACCACTGGTTCAGCTACCACCATTAACACAGAAAAGGCTGATAATGACTGTGCAAAAATGTATCTTTTATTAAACAAGTCCAGTAATTTACCTTTACCAATACTGCTGAACAAGCATGCTGTAGACTTCGCTTGCCTCACTCATAAAAACATTATGCCACTTTAATCAGCTCTTTGTTTATAAAAGCTTTAACGGCCTGATCGATCCAGAATTTTTAATTTTCATATTATTTTACTAGAAATAATAGTTGTTTGTTTATTCCTTTTTCCAGACTGTCAATTTATAGACGCAGTTTCTTTTGTGGATATCAAAAATCTATTATCGAAGTAGAAAACTTATTATACCACCATAAATATAAAATATATTGTAAAAAATATTGTTTAATTATTTTGCCTAACTATTTTGTTTTGTTTTATTTTTCGTATTTACGACTTGTTATTTAGGTTTTAGATATTTATTTTTGCTTTATAATTGTATTTTTAGGTCTGTTAAATGCGGAGTAGCCACCATTTGCCTTGGGTATAGTTTGAACCATTTGTAAAAAATAAATTAAATAATTTTAATTTTTGTCATTTATACAGAAGTTTAAGTGCTTAATATGAATACGTTTAATCTATATTTTATGTGATGTTATAAATTATAATAATTATAATATATATAAATAAACAAATAATTTAATATACATATACATATTTATTTATTTATATTTTATATTATAATATAAATACAAATTTAGAATATATTATATATTAAAATATATGAATTAAATTATATGTTATATAATAATATAATTATGATGTAATCTCAGTTTTTAACAAATTTTAAAAATCATTTATTAAAATCACGATTTACAATTTCACATCTATGTGAAATCTTTAAAAAGTTAATTAATCGTAATTTTAATAAATGATTTTTAAAATTTTATTCAAAACTGAGATTACATCATATTTCACAACATCAATGACTTAAACTTGTAAAACAGAACCAAAAGTCGTGGAAAATCATTCCTTTTTCGGAAAACTGTTTTTATCCGGAATATCCTTTTCCTTTTTTAAAAACGTATATCCTGGTGATAAACTAAAATAATTATTTCTAAATAAATTTTTAAATTTTCATTTTTATAAAACAATTACGTTTTGTTCTACGAATTATAGCATACGGTATGTATTTTTTAAAATATAATTTCTTACTTTATCGTACTGCACGATAATGAGTATTTTGATCACAAAGTTTTCCTTGTCACGACAAAGTAAATGGTATTTTTAAAAGAAAAGATTAAATTTATTTTATTCATTTACAGATAACAGTATTAGAATCTATAATAAAGCATTTTAAAATGATAATTAGACGACTTATAATTTAATATAATTGTAAATAAATAAGATAAACGAAGGATCTAAATAATTTTTATGATTTTTGCATTCACGTGAATGAAATTAAAATTGGTAAATAATTTAAACTCTACAAAGTTTTTTTTTCCTAAGCAGGAAGACTGGTTTATAGTTCCAAGAAAGGTATTTGAGTGGAAAGGTGACTTAGGATGTGATAGGTCGAAGTATTTTGCAAACAAACGCTCTTCCTTTCTGTCAGATAACAGAATTACCTTGTCACTCGTAAAAATGAAACGTTGCTTACTGTTTACTTTTTTCTCGTTTATACATATTTTCGGTAAGTATTTTCTTAAATCTTTACGTTATTTAATTAAATAAACCAAATATTTAGAAATTTAAGTTATTTCTACTTCTTTGTAATGTTTATAATTACTTATTCGATTCATTATTGACGTTTAGATAATTTATATTATTTATGACTGTTGTTTCTGATTCATTTTCCTCTTAAGTTATTTCAAGTTAGAACGTTTTATATTCTTATTATATAAGACGATAAAATTGGTTAAGCTTCTTTCTTTATTTTTTAATGATTACGAGAAATTTTACTGCTTGTTGTATGTCTGTTTCCAAGGTTTTCTAATCAACTGTAGAATATACAATAAATTGTTACTTACATAAATATCCTATTTAGAAATATGAATAGATTAAAATTTTCATTTAAAGTTTTTACCTCTATACTTTTCCTATTTTTTATACGTATTGCTTCTTTGTACAGAACAAATTAAAAAGTAAAAGTGAATTAATTATGAAATATTTATAAAGTAGCTTCTATTTTTCAGGAAACGTTTTATACATAATATTTTATAGATTTTTGTAACAAGAATGAGTAGATTGTATGTATTCGTATCTAATTTTCTATCAAGTTTTTTAATACTAATGATTATTCAAGATAATTTAAAGGTAATATTCTTAAGAAAAATTATTTTATAAATAGATGTAAGTATATTTTTTTCAATATCCGGTAAATAAATATGTAAAAACTCTTTCCTTTTGTAATATCAAGGTCGAACACCTGCCAGATTTGATAAACAGTCAGCTGAGAAAACTGGAATTTTAAAATTATGTTATGAGGAAGCAAGAGTTTGTAATAATTTACGAACTTTCGCATTTATAAAATATATTTGATTGTCTAAATTTAAATATACTTTGTGCATGCCAAAGCTTGTAAATTGTTCTATAAATCTAACTGTTGTTCGCAGATTTAAGAATGAAATTTCTAGAGATATAGCTAAATTATATGTCTTATATTTGCCTGTTAAAATAATTTAATTCTTAATTTAAAAAGAAAAAAAAAAGTTGGTACAACTTCTAGAAAGACTAGTAAAATTAACACAGAATTGAAATGTATCCTTTAATTTGTTACCATTGCATCCTTGTTTGTGATAATCTGCGATTATCGCAAACAAGGATGCAATCTGATACACTGTAAAATTATATCAAGGACCGCAATTTTTGAAAATTCCAAATTCCTTTCAGTTGACCTCTAATGCTCTCTGAGTGAAAAAAATTCCAAGCTGCTATCGTCCCCTTAAAAAAATCCGTTTTAATTATAGTATAGTCCCAATTAGGATAAAATGGGGAAATTTTGATCATTAGGGTAACTTCGATCAGCCTATATCTATTGATAAAAAGTTGGCAGTTCGTGCATCACCTAATCTATGCTGATCTGTGGTGGGAGACACCTTTAACAATTGCAAAAAGTTAAAATATAATAAAAGAATCATAAGACTGGTGGAACAAACTTTTTATGTTTAGTAAACTTTTACGTAAGAAAAGTATATTATATATTATGAGATAAGGTACAAGCGTTTTTATAAATAATAATAATTGTCACATTATACGAAAGCATGAATTTTGTTGATTAGTTACAGCTATGTTGGAGATTAATTACAGTCGACCCCCCTATAAGATCATAGATACGTTCCATTCTTTAGGAATCCGATTTCTTATGAGTCCTTCCAATCACAGCCCGACACGTGTCAAGTTTACGGACTACGGCTGTTTGAAAGGTTTTCTTCCATAAAATTAATCGATTCTAGACTAATCCGACTCAACATTTCCAAAATACGTATATTTTTTTNACTGTATCTCCTTTTAAGCTTTTCTTAGTAGTTAAAATTTTATATCGAAATATAATTGAAAATTATCGAATATATTAATGGTTCCCTTAACTTCCTGTTTGAGTGCTGGGAAAGTTTTTGGTTGACTTTCCCATATATATTTAAATATTTATTTTTATTTGTATTGATAGTTGTCTAAATTCTTTTGTATTTATATTGTAATGTGCATTTTATTCTATGTAAGTAAATTTGAATTTTCAACATTCTACGTTATCCTCCAATATTTTTTTAGCGTGTATCCTACGATATCTGCTAGAACAGCCAAAAACACTTGAGAAAATTTGTACAGACGATAGTAATCTCTCCATAGCGTGGCGCTTGACGGCGCGGAAAGTAGTTCGGCTGCCCGATGACGTTTTACGTAATTATAGGAGTTTTTTTTACCTTTTTTTACGGATACCGTCGCAATTTTTTTGCAGTTTTATAGGAATCGTAATTATAGGAACCGTAATTATAGGGGGGTCTACTGTAATAACATAACAACAACCGAAACTGTGCTAACTACTTTCCAGCATAGCATTTTGGGGCAAATCCGATTACCACTGATTGGAACTGTAGAGGAAGATGTTGCGCCGAAGAACTTTGTGATGACTATATTGAACACGATGGTCAATACATGACATTTGTATCCGATGAGGTGAGGGGGCAGGACAATGATACGGATGTAGTGTGTTCAAATTAGGCCCTTGCAGTGGCATACACAGAGAGGGACCAAAGGGTCCTGGCACCCTCCAAAGGAAAAGGAAAAAGAACATTAGAAAATTTTCCAAAAATCTTTTTCAAATTAAAATTCATTTTACTTTCCCGGCTGTTATGTATATATAACAAGGAAAAGTATTGGAATCGTGTCAAATTTGACCCTCAGAGGTTTTTGCAAATCTCCACGTTTTCAGACCTCCCAAACCCAAAAATAAATAAAAAAAAAAAAAAAAAAAAAAAAAAAAAAAAAAAAAAAA